TTATTCCCCAAAGCATATGAGTGCAGGACAAGAAGCAATGGGTGGAAACTAATCAAGGAGATAAGCAACTTAGAACTGAGGAGAAATTTCCTGACAGTTAGAACAATTAATCAGTGGAACAACTTGCCTCCAGAAATTGTGAATGCCCTAATACTGGAAGTCTTTAAGAAGATGTTGGATAACACTTTGTCTGAGGTGGTGTAGGGTTTCCTGCCTAAACAAGGGGTTGGACTAGAAGACCTCCAAGGTCCCTTCCAACTCTGCTATTCTATTCTATTCTATTCCATTCCATTCAATTCCATTCTATTTATGGTCCAGTTTCTAATTCTGACATATGCGCCTATGTCAGGTCATGTGACCATATTTGGGGTGCACAGCAACTCGCCCACATTTGTGGCCATGTCCTACTCTTAATTGGTCCATATGAAATCTTTGCTATAAACTAACATTTACTTCTGCTTTCCAGCAAAAAACACTCAATAGAGAACAATAGGTTCATTTAACAATTGTAGCATTTGCTTTATGACTGCTGCATCACTTAATGACCGCTTCAAAAAAAACATAAAATCATGTTTCATATGCCTTACAATCATGATTATGGCCATCAATGCAGGGCTCAATGATGGTCATAACTCGAGGACAAAATTCTAATCCATTGCCAATTAGTTCAACTGGCGATTTCTCAGATGTTCTTTTTCTTTGCACAAAAGTATGTTTTTCAACTTTATTCTCCAAAGCCTTGAGATTTTTTTCACCTTCCTAGTATTGCTTATAATATCTATGTTGTTGTTGTTGTTAATGGCAAAAAGTCTAATGCTGATTGTTCTTCTCAATTTGAATAAAGAATTAGTAGAAGAAATTTCATCAAATATTTTCCTCTGTAAATGGATTGAAATCTGAATAGCCAGAGAGATGCAGATCAATCTTATAGAGCAGGGGTGTCAAACTCATAGGCCTGGGGGCCGAATCTGGCCCACAGGTTGCTTGAATCTGGCCAGCGGGGCCATCCTGGGAGCAGCGAAGGACTGGCCAGTGGTGCCTCTGCGAGAAAAAATGGAGCTCTGGGGTTGCGGATGGCTTCCCCCAGTCTCCATTTTCAGCTGCAATGGCCTCTTGCGAAAATGGAGTTCAGTGGGGCCATGCACGTTTTCATGGTCCCCCAGATCCGAGTGACATCAAGCTGGCCACACCCATTCTGGCCATGCCCAACCAGCCACGCCCCCAGCCCCCAAAGGTCAAACACAACCCTGATGCGGCCCACAATGAAATTGAGTTTGACATCCCTGTTATAGAGGCTTGGACAATGAAAAGACATTCATTCCTTTATGGACTTTGGCCAACTCAGAACAAGATACAAGAAAGAGCACCATTTCCCCCTTATGAAGCTTTCACTGCAATTGTCTTCTTTGAAATAAATGCACATAGGAAAGTTTCTTTCCTGAGTGAGAACTGGAAAGACAAAAGTGATTTGTTCTCTACATGAGACTAATGAAGTACCTCGACATTTAATACAGAGATTATTCGTTTTCTTCCCCCCTTTTTACTGCTTTAAAGTTTTTTTTATGGCTGGTCACTGTTTCTGCATTGTGGGGAGAAATTAATCATTACTCTGAATAGCAACCATGAGTTTAAAAGATACTTTTGTTTTCTTGCTTACCAAAGGCTGGAAATATCAGAAAATAGGGTGAAAACATTTGTGAATACAAGGATTCAGAGGGTGTATTTACATACATATCATACTTTATTCCCTTTCAGGCAGGGGTGAAATGGTCCAAAGCCTGCTACCAGTTTGCAGGTGCACTTTGCAGGTGCTCAGAAGCCTTTTCTGAGTCTGCAAAGGTAATTAGAACAGTGAGAGGTGGAACAGCTGTGCCACGCAATTTAGATTCTCTAGATTTCCTACTTTCTAGCGAATATAAATAGTGCGGCACAGCTGATTGTCATATAGCTGATCGTTGGAACTTTTAAAAAACTTTTATTTAGTATTTTTGGCAAAAAAAAATGCTAAAAATAGTAAAAAAAATGTTCCGTCAATCAGCTGTGCCGTGTGATTTCTAGCGACTATAAATCATGCGGCACAGCTGATTGTGGCACAGCTGACTACCGGTTCGCCCGAATCGGTAGCAACTTTTACTACCAGTTCGGGCGTACCAGTAGTAATGTGGATTAGGATAGTAATATGCAGGGGTGGGATTCTACTGGTTTGGACCAGTTCAGGCAAACTGGTAACTCTGATGATCAGCTGAGAGCAAACCAGTTTGCTCCGATGATCAGTTGGGCCCGCCCACCTGCCCCTGTTCTATCCTGTCCTTTATTTTCTGCTTTCCAGCTCATCTCAGTCCCGTGGCACCGCTGATTTCTCCACCACCATCCCAGCTCTTTTGCTTATCGTTGCTGACTTGGAAGGTAAGCAGCTGAGATTGTAAATGCTCCATTTTCAATGCTATGCATGCAACTATAGCACACATTCGTGCAAAGCGCACACTCACTGAATCAGTTGTTAAACTGGCAGTATCCCACCACTGGTAATATAATATAATATAGCATGTGCCTTGTGAATGAGCTGCACAAGTATAATTTATATATACCGTGTTTTCCCAAAAATAAGACAGGGTCTTATTTTCTTTTGATCCCTGAAATTAGCTCTTGGCTTTATTTTCAGGGAGGTCTTATTATTTTTGAGGTGCAGGAGGCAGAGAGTCTGGTCACCTCATGGCTGCTGCTGTGTTGCAATATTCTTGGGGAGGGCTTATTTTTGCAGGAGGGCTTATTTTCAGGGAGGGCTTATTTTAGCGCATGTGCTCAAAAGCCCAATTGGGCTTATTATCCAGGGAGGTCTTATTTTCAGGGAAACAGGGTAATAGACCAGTGCAGATCATTCATGAGGCATATTGCTATACTGACTATCCTATAGGAATGTCTACTGGCCATAAACACAAACCTACACACACTCAAAAGTTATAAAAGAGAACTGAACCACTTCTGAATTCACCAACCGTATAGAAAAGGCACATGTCTTAACAAAACCCATATGCATTTCATCAACAAATGCAAGCCAACAACTCTATAAAAATCTGACCTCCTGTGGAAACCCAAGTGGAAACCCAAGAATCATGATTTAAAGTACCTTCTTGATTGTATCCAGCATAGATCTCCCTCCTTGCCAGGGTTTGGAATTCTTCCTAATGCATGTCAAGCTAGCCATACTGTGCCACTTTCGGTCCTCCAGCTTCTTATGAAAAGCATTTGCCAGCAACAACACCGTATCGTATATGTAAAGGTTGGTAATCTGTCAAAGAGATTAAGAATTGATTATAAGTAACTAGCACCCACATGCTGGCAGAATTCAGAGGTAGTTTGTCTCAGCTGTCACCACTCAAGCTGTCAGGAATGTAAATGCAATACCACCACAATAGATTGCCTCACATTTTACAAACCACTCGGGTCCAGAGGCGGTTACGTGATTACTAGTTAATTCAGTTTGCATTTCGTAAGTCGAGGCATGTTCCTGGCTGCAACTTGAAATGTTACATTTTTCTAATCCAAGGGTTATTTCAATGCATGTCAAGGCTTTTATGGTATCTTGATAAGGTCAGATGCCCATAAACTCATGAATGAACAACTGCACACAGCTTGTTCTCCAGGTATAAGTCCTAACTGCACCAGGACATCCTTCTGATTTCCAAATACAGTTAAGGAGGATGGATGGCAAATTTCTACATCTTATTATCTGTGAGTTTCATGTTTCAGATTAATATTCCTAACAGGTACGCTATTTTAGAGAAGCCTTCTCCAAAGATATGCTTCAATATGATGTCATGTCCACGTTCTAACATTCTGACATGCATACTTACAGTGACACACAGAGAACGTTGGTTATTCCTATCATGGATTACAATGCCCAGGTATTGCCTGATGATTATTGTGTTTTGTTTTGTTTTACAAAATTGAAGTGGCTTCCTTTTGTCTCCAGTTCTGAGCTACATTTGAGCATTCTACATTTTTCTGTTCAAGATGAATTATTCTTTGTTAAGGAGCTACTAAGAAACTGCTGGAGAGGCTGGAAGAAGGGGTTAAGTGACCATCTAGCTTGGAATCCTTGTGCAGCCATAAGCAACCTAAGCTTCCTCAAGATCCATGAAGCTTTGTCTGGTCATTCTCAAGGGAAGACAAGCAATTTGGGCATAGTCTTGTAATATAGGCGGTTGACAATAAAGTTATTGATAGTTATTATTCACGAGTATCTCTGGTTGATTGTGCCTGACAACTGCTGAATCAAATACACTTCTTAGCAGAATCATGGATAAATGCTTTCCACCTTGACATTTTGGCCAGGTAGACAGAATCCATTTCAGACCAGAAACATACATACATACATACATACCAGTATGTATCAAGTTAGTTTTTTTTTTTTAAATCAACATTGTAAATTGGGGTAAAATTCATGTTCACATTTTTTTTTCTGTGCTTGAAGGCAAACATTCAGAATGAGAGGCATGGAAGTAGTCTAAATCTGTATAGATATCTGTAAATGAATGAGCTCCTGAGCCATTTTAATATTTGATCCATTTTACTACTTCAGCATAGTTTTCTTTTCTGAAATAATAATAATAATGCCTTTATATAAGCAATGGTAAAGGGTATTTATTGTAGGCATTTAGGATTTAGGATTCAGTCTATAAAAGGAACTTCTAGATTGTGATGGACAAACCACACAATCATTTAAATGCATATAGTTCTTAAGCCAACTTTCTTTCTATAAATAATCAGTTTGTTCTAGAGCAGGAAAGAAAAGAACATGATTATGAGTGAGGAAGAGAAAAGGAATGAAAGAGAAAGATCTACTTGGAGCAGCATATAGTGTCAACTGGTAAAGCATCCCTGGCCTGCTCTCGAGTTGCCATAGGCAGGAGGAGGAAAAACTGACGGAAGAGTACAGCAGCCACAACCAGATGCACAATCCACACATAGCTTTCTCAAGGCTGTATCCCAGGTTACTTGCAACAGCTGGAGGGGCATGGTCTCTACAGCCCGCAAAAGTGCTCCCTTGGAACAGGGCATAATTGGGCCGTAAATTATGTGGGGTCAGAGTTGGCTTCACATGGGAATGTGCCGACATGTTCCCATGGGAAGATAAATAACTGGATTTAATAAATAACTGGATTTCTTTTGAAGCTTGGCTCAAGGCTCATGATTTAATTACGGCTTCCATTGGAACCCTGACATATAGTTTCTTTCAGCAACTTCTACCTAAAAGGATTGAATAGAAACAAAAGCTTTTGATAGGAGCAAACCAAAAAAGCAAAAAAGGAAAGAAAAATCTTCCTCCTAGCTTTTAGAAAGTATGCAATACACAGTCTCTGGGCTCCTCAGTGCTTATCATCATCATCCTAATTTATACATAGACTTTGTAGAACTAATCTTTTTTTAAAAATGAAGCATTTTGTCTTTTGCATTAAGCAAGCAAAGTCATTAAGATCATTGGCAACTTCTCCCAATAAAATGATTTAAAATAGCAGTTCCTTAGTTTAGAGTTGTGATGGTGAACTCATGGCACACATGCCACAGGTGGCACTCAGAGTCATTTCTGAGGGCACACAAGGCATTGCCCTGCCACCTGATTTTCGACTGAAACCTACTACTGGTTTCCACCCATTGCTTCTTGTCCTAACCTCAGATGCTTTGGAGAATAGCTTGACTCCCTCTTCTTTGTGGCAACCCCTGAGATATTGGAAGACTGCTATCATGTCCTTCTTTTCATTAAACTAGCCATGCCCAGTTCCTGCAACCTTTCTTCATATATTTTAGTCTCCTGTTCCCTAATCCTCTTTGTTGCTCTTCTCTGCACTCTTTCTAGAGTCTCAACATCTACCGATGGCCATTGTGGAAAACCTTTTTAATGCTCTGCACAACTTTATCATATAACTGTGCATTTAAAACCATTCTTATGTTGATAGTCCTCAATTTAAAACCAGTCATTTAATAAATGTTTGATGTTATGATGTATCCACAAAGCCTACTTGTGACCTGCTTTTGAAGTTATGATAGCTGCTGCACGCATGCGCGCACACACATACACACACTCACACACACATCTGCTTGTGGTCATATGATCATATTTTGGACACTTGATAATGCACAATCCATATGACTGCAATTCATGACTTTTTTGCTGGTTTCTGGCATTTACTTCCAGTTTCCAGCAAAAAAACTGACCATTTGGTAATATTGATTTGCTTAATGACAGCAGTGCTTACTTAATGACCACAGCTTTTGCTTAATGACTGCTGCAAAAAATGTGGAAACATTGGGTCTGGTTATGTGATGCCTCAACTTAGGAGCACAGTTACAGTTGTCAGTTGAGCACTACCTATATTTCTTCATTCAACATTAAAAAAAAAAGTTAGAGCCAAGAAACAGATATTTTAAGTCTTTATGTATATTGTAGATAGGCCCTTGTGTCATTGTCAATCACCAGGAATTCATGTATGCTAATTTATTTTACGTTGATTTTTATATCTCAATTTCCCCCCTGAGAGTTTAGAATACTGTACTAATCACAGTAACCTCAAAGCACATTATATTTTGGGAATTGGAATTCTGCTTCATATATTTATATTTATTGTGGTGATATGTAATCAAAAGTAGTTGCTTAATGTCCTGTATAATTCAGCAAAAGGCAATTGATTTAATATGCATTTTTTTTCCAGAGGTTTCACAGTGGAAGAAAGAGGATAATGGAAAGAAATGGAATGGAATGGAACAGAATGGAGCGGAATGGAATAGAAAAGCCAATGAACTGACCAATTTTTATGTTTGCTTTTTCAAACACTTCAAGACACACACACACACACACACACACACACACACACGGGGGAGGGGGGGGAGAAATCTATAGAATGATTCTTTTTTTAGTGTGGGAATTAGCCATGATTAAAGATAGGATTGGTAACAATCTCTTTTGGCTANAGGCTGCAGCAAATGGGCCACAGCAGCGAATTGGCAGCAGCGAACGGGTCACGGCAAATCAGCTGTGGTGAATGGGCCATAGCAAAGGGGCCAGATGAATACCGGATGGATGCTGGGAGGCAGAGGCAGATTTTTTTCCCCTTTGTTTACCTTCCCAAAAGCTAAGTGCGTCTTACAGTTTGGAGCATCTTATACTCCATAAAATACAGTATGTTTTTACTGCGTTTCAAATACTGTATTAAGAACCTCTAGAATGGCAAGTTTTAGGGCATTCCCTGGGTGACTTTTGTTGAGCCCTTAATGAAAGAAGTCTTACGAGAAAATTACTTTTGGTGGGGAGAATAAAGAGCACATGGGTGACTAGAGCGAAGTTTTTGTAAAGTTATAAATGATCCAGAGATATGAAATAAGATTTTGAAATTAATTATAAGTCTTCCCATGGGAAACAGCTGTTGTTCTGAATTCTGGAAAAAATATATCATAGGATGGGACTTTGAAGGCTGAACGCTAGTAAAAACCTGAAGGAGTTAAAGATTACAATTAAAAGAGAAGGATATTTAAATTCAACTTGATGACATAGACTGGAACAAATAGGAGATGTCCATTTTAGTGGCATAGTAGGTGATACCAAGCGTAGCTCCTCTGGGGGCAAATGACCTTAATTAAAATAGGATAATGTGGGTGTAATATATTTGTTGATAAAACATGTATGCTTAATCATTAACATAAAACCTACTTGGACAATATTTATTTAGGAAATATATATCCTAAGCAAAGATCACTATGTTTCTAAAACATAATTTAGTGGTTTTAATTATTTTTAAGTGGATATTTCAAAGATGGGTGGATAATATAATATAAATACTAAATATAACATGACTGGTTTTAGTTTGACTATCAAATAGAAAACAAAATTTCACTTACAATGGGCATCATCATATTCCATTGTAGACATTCTAGATTCCAGATATGGATATTAATCTCCATAAGATGTGATACCATTTAAAAAACACAGATGCTTTGTTAAAAAATAGATAAAGTCTAAAGTTGATATAAGACTCAAGACCCAAATGCAAGCATAGCATTACCTTAAATGTTTCAAATGCTTAATTACGTATTTAAAAATTATTCTAAATTTCTAAGATATGATTTTTGTTTTTTCTTCAGGAGATTTTTTTATACAAACATGCCATTTATATTTTATTTTAATCACAGCATTTTTCTTAGACCAACCACCCAAAAACAAAAAACCCAACAGTTCATATCCCATCAATAACTGAGTTCTATTTTTTTTTTTAAAAAAAAATGGCACTTGCAAAGGAGATATCTGTAATTCAAACGGTGGGGTACTGCTGAACCCACACAAAACTGTGCAAAAAGGAAAAGTAATATATCTGAACATAGAGAAGTCGGTGACAGATAAGAAGATGGGAAATCCAAAAATAATGGAATGCTGGGAAGCATCTCAGTGAAAACAAATCAAATGTAAAGTTTTGCTAGAAAAGCACATTTGAAGACGATTTGCTGTGATTGCATTATTTTTCATGATAATAAATGCAACTATAGGTAAACTATAGAGATATGTTGTGAAACTAAACCTCAGTTCCTTATTACTGTCTTTACATTTTCACATTTTTAGTACAAAGGCAGAGAAATTAGAGCGCCCCCATGAAAAAGACAGTATGAAAGTCTAAATAAAAGTCAGATGCATGAAGAATAGAGAATCCTTCCCCAAATCTTCTCTTCCCTTCAATTATTATCATTTAAAATGAAAAAAAAAATGGCATTCAGCTGAATTGCCACTTATCACTTGTACATTCAGCTATAAGCTGAATATACTATAATCCATGAGAAATAATAGGGGGGGGGCTTAAGTTAATAATGATTTAGAGCTTAATTATTTCAACCAGACTATGTATTAAATATATATTGGATTTACTTATATAAATACATTGAATTTGTAAAGCTAGTTAAAGATGACAATTGAGACAGTGTACAAAGAAGATTTATTTTTAAATATGTCTAAATCTGGCCCAATCCCTTCTATTTTACTCCAGCATGCCTCTCAAAAATTCAGATTTATTCTTATAGCTTATATAATCCTTGCCATAAACTTAAATTAACCTAGGCTGATAACCGGTGACAGCAAATGAACTTTATAGATGAAGGATGGTTCATTACTCAAGGTAAAATGGTTCGTCTCTGAGGCGCCCCATATTTATTGTTTATTATTCCTTTATTTGTTTGCTTGTTTTCAAAAGACTAACCTGGCTCCCCCACAAAAACAAATGAAAAGAAAAATTTAAACAGTGAGGATACACAGCAGAAGTGGTATTCAGCAGGTTCTGACCAGTTCTGGAGAACCGGTAATGGAAATTTTGAGTAGTTCAGAGAACCAGTAAATACCACCTCTGACTGGCCCCGCCCTCATTTATTCTCTGCCTCCCGAGTCCCAGCTGATCAGGAGGAAATGGGGATTTTGCAGTATCCTTCCTCTGCCATGCCCACCAAGCCACGCCCACTAAGCCACACTACATCAACCAAGCCATGGCCACAAAACCCGTAGTGAAATTTTGTTTGAATCCCACCACTGATATACAGGTAGTTTTCAACTTATGACCACAATTGAGCCCAACGTTTTTGTTGCTAAGTGAGAAATTTGTCAAATGAATTTTTACAACGTTTCCTGCCACATTTATTAAGTGCAGTTGCATTGCAGCTGTTAAATTATTAACCCAGTTGTTAAGTGAATCTGACTTCCCCATTGGCTTCGCTTGTCAGAAGGTTGCAAAAGGTGACTACAGGGCATTGCGACCATCGTAAAACACGCATCCAAATATAAATCATGTGACCATGGAGATACTGCAATGGTCATACATGTAAATAATGGTCATAAGTCACTTTTTTCAGTGCCATTACTAAGTGAACTGTTGTAAATTGAGAACTACCTGTAACTACCTGTAGCGATGGTTTACAAGTAGTAATGCAAGCTACTGGTCTGTGTATTCTATTCAAAATGTTGAGGACTTTTTGTTTTAAGGTAAACTCTTTTCAACCATGTGCTTATGAAATTAAGTAAAAGCCAAATAAAGCAGGAACTAGTATTGGAAAAGATTCACCAAATTTACCACGGTTGGCCTTAGGATCCTTGGTGATTGATTAGCAGTTCAGATTTGGAAATATCAGTTCCAGTCAAAGAAGAAAATAACTTAACTAATGAAGAAAAACTACAACAGAACCAAATAAATTCTTCAGTGGAATTTTCATTTAGAGTGCACAATCTTTTCTGTTCTGTTTCCCCAATTTATTTAAACAACATTTCTGTCCACTAGCTCATCTGAATGTTTACTTCTGCTCCTTGTTTCTTCTTGGCCAGGACAAGGCCACTAGAAATATTCTGACCCTTAGATTTAAAAAAAAAAAGGATTCATGTTTGGTTGACAGTTACCTCATTTATAATGATCCAGTGACAGTCAAAAGCAACCAAATTGGCTTCCACAACCTGAAATAGAAAAGAATGCAGCCATCAGTCATCTTATTTATACCAAAGCCAATGATTGTTAAATAGATGCTTTGCCACAAAGGATATCGGAGGCTCAGCGGTGGGGATGGAGACAGAAATCATAGCAGAGGCATTAAAACAAAATAATTATGAAACCCCAGTTCTGAAAAGACTCCCTTTGCCCATTCTGTGGAAATAAAAAGGCTTTTTGGTGCAAAAACAGTCCCAAAACATTTGGATTATTGTTTGGTTTGTTAATTAAACTGTGGGATTAGAGAATGAAGAAAGCAATTCCCTTCTATCCATCCAGCCAGCCAGCCATGAAAAGTCCATATGATTATTTAAGACTTAAGGTTTGCTGATAAATTGAAAAACACTAAAATATTCAAGACTAGCTGGATACCCGTGCTTCATGACAAAACCATNGGGGGGGGAGAAATCTATAGAATGATTCTTTTTTTAGTGTGGGAATTAGCCATGATTAAAGATAGGATTGGTAACAATCTCTTTTGGCTATGTTTGATTACATTGCTTGGGATTATACTGGTTTAGTTCACCATATGTCCCATGGTTTAGTTATTTCAGAGCAGGAAACAGCTGAAACTACTTTTAGCTGGTGAGCTGGACGATTTTGTATTATGTTGTCTGCATTTACCATACTGACAAGATCTGCCAGCAGAGTTAGTTTTTCAATATATATATATATATACTATCATACCATAGTTATTACTAATCATACCAGAATTTAGAAGCAGATAATGTTTAATGAATGCGCAACAGAAAAGAGAGAAATGAAATGGATACTTATCCCCTTCCCTTGTTTATTGTAAGCCGCCCGGAGTCCTTCGAGAGTGGGCAGCATACAAGACCAATAAACTGAACTGAACTGAACTGATTGAATAGTTAGGGCAAAAGGGATTTGAAAAGGTGTTGGTGGAATCCCTCCAAATCGAACACTAGGTTTACAGATATGGCAAAAAGGATAATTAAATTCAGGATTTAGAATGAACAGAACAACCAAATAACAAGCTGGAGAGGACCTTGGAGGTCTTCTAGTCCAACCTGTGCCCAAATTTGACTTCATGCTTCCCTTCATGTAGATGTAGTTCCATTGAGGACTACATGCTGAGTGTATTTGTCAGTTATGAATCCATCTGGTGATGATGCTGTCTACCCCATATTTTTCTCTTACCAAGAACTAGATTGTGAAGACAAGTATCAATCTATTTCCTTCCTTCCTCCTTCCTTCCTTCCTTCCTTCCTTCCTTCCTTCCTTCCTTCCTTCCTTCCTTCCTTCCTTCCTTCCTCATGATGTTGGTCATAAAACATCAAAAATATTTTTGAAACCTAGTTAGGAATTTTGAAACTTCTATCTCTGCAAGAAGCTTTTACCATCCTTTG